GATTTCTTATTTCTTTACACCTCTGGATAACAGAAATTAATATTTTAGAGTCTCGTTTCAACTGTTTTAAAAATTTGTTCTTTAAACAGAATCTGAGTTGACTCAGTCCCTATAGAAAGAATAGATAAAGATGTTTACCGCCTCATGAGTTCCTGACTTGTGGTCTCTTAGTAAGTTTATGAAGTATCCATTTAGCAAGTAATGACAGTAAGGATGGATAATACTTGTATTAGCAAGATTCTCTGCAGCATGAGTAAAGATGATGTTCCAACTAGTTTCTCATTTTTTATGCCATCATGGAGTACAAAAATGTGTGAGAAAATGAAACTGACTTATGTCAGTCTTTTATTATAAATTTTATATGTACAGTTCTTTTGTATTCCGCCTTTCTTTAAATTCTGATTTGGAAAGATGGCATTTCCAGTTCTTAAGGGCACAATACTGCATGTTTGTACATGCCCAGATTTCAGCAGCACTGTAATTAACTTTTACAGTTAACTGAGAGATCTGCCACAGTATTGCATGTTGGGAGCTTTAAAATCTGGAAGCAGAAGGAAGTATGTTAAAAAGAAGGCAACTGTTTTTTTCGTTGTATGATGGAAAGTATGAATTTTACATAAGTCACCATGATCTTTGCCTGTTGAAAACAAAACAAGAAAAAGAAGTAATTTCGATAATGCTAGTGTTTGTTGACCAATTTTTGTATTTATTCATAAATGATCACAGCTCACACAAAAAAATATGGGGGGGAACTATGAAGAAGGTGGTGATATTTGGAAAAATTTGTATGTAATAATATATTTTTTTATGCAGTTAGAAACTGATACAGAATTCTGAGAAAACATTAAATATCTGCTGATTTGATATCGGGACCTCTGCAGTCAGTATTGGTGCAGTTGAGAGAAACTAGATTTTTGTAAATCAGCAAATTTTAGCAGCCTTTCCAAAACAGTGATAACGTGTGCTTCAGCTCAGGATGAGAGCCTTACAAAAACAGGTTAATCCCTATGCAAACATTTCCTTCACCTGAACATTTGTGCTCTTAATGTATCTTTTCATAGTTCTTGGTGCGTTGTTAGACTTATAAAATACCAGGGTTTGCTGCCCAAGGACTTTGTGAGATTTCCAAGCTTGGAAGTTTGGATTGTGAGTGAAGAGCTGGTTCATGGTCTGGGAGTTGGCTTGGGTGGGTGGCAGAAAAGATAAAAACATTAATTCTTACTGGAAAAGGGATCAGTTTCCAAATGGGGTCCTGGTTTTAATGGAAAGTTTTGTTATAGACTGTGAAAATATGTCTGCTGTGTCAAAGAAATACTAGGTAAATACTGTTAATTGAGCAGTAAAGGACTGTATCTGTACTGGATGCTCTTGAATTATACTCATTTTGTACTAGATTTATGAAATTTGGCAGGGACTAAGTTCTCATCCTTTATTTTGGTAAAGGATAAGCTGTTGAGGTTTTTTTTGTTGTCGTTGTAGGGTTGTTTGTTTTGAAAAGTATATGACTATTCCTTTCAGGAGCTTTTTCCATTGGAGGGGCCGGAATAGTTTCTTATCTAGCTAGAAACTGTACCTCAGAGTCTTGCTTTGAAGCATAAATCTTATACATGGGAAGAAATCACCTCTTAGTGTTGAGCACCCACATGAATTCAGAGTACAGTGCTTAATTTTCATACAATAATAGCATACATCATGTTTAATAAAAAGGTGGCTGTGGCTGTGCTCAGTTTATATAGACTTACTGTCACGAGTGAGAACATCCTGACCAAACTTCACCCTAGTTTCAGGCATGTTTACTGTTCTTGGGGAAAAAAAGAAAGCTTCCAAAAGCCCTAACCTTTTTAACTCTATTTGGTGGTGGGGTTTTGTTTGGGTTTGTTTTGGGTTTTGTTTGTTTGTTTGGGGTTTTCTTTCCTTTTTTATTGTTTTCTTGTTGGATTTATTTAAGAATGAGAATAATACTAAAGTGTAGATTAACCTGGTAAATGGAGGTTGCATTTTAAGTGGAAATTTCTGTTACTGACCCCCACCCATAAACAGTGCTTTCCTAAAGCCCTTCAGTGATGTTAGTCTTTTGGATGGTCTAAGCTTGCCTGAAAAGTGAGAAATGAAAGCATGATGATATAAAAAGAGTGATTATAATATTTGATTTTGTTATTCTTGGTTTTATAAAATAGATTGTTATTAATTCTAAGAAGGGGGTATTATGTGACGGTGAAGCATACGTGATAAAAAATATTAATATACTTGGAGATAGTTTGCCCTTACAAAGCTTTTATCATTTAAAAAAAATATTATTAACGTGGTGGGTGTAAATGCAACTCGATATATGTTCTTTAGCATCAGTATTTTGCAGTTAGTCAAAGGTTTAAATTGCCTCTAAGGTTTCAGATCTACATTAAGGTAGCAGCTGTGCTGTCTCGGTAACTGGGAGTTCCAGTAATGATTTCTGAAGCAGGATACTTATCTCCAGTGCAGCAGGGCTGCTTTTGCCTTTTTGAAGTACAGCAGCAGGGAACATCAAGAGAAGAGTCTTACTTTGAGGAGGAAGCAATGCTGAATACTTTTTTCGTTTTTACAGTAGCTAAGAGTTAAAAGGAAAAATTTTGTTAGTAACTACAGAGTATAATTCACTTAGTGAGACATTGTCATATTTTGCTGATGATGTCTAACACAGTTTTCAGTTAGTATTTGATATGAAAAATAGTGTGGGGATTTAAGGTACAGCTGCAGGAGGGAAGCTGGGACACTTCACAGGGAGGTTGGAAAATGCCAGTGGTAGCAGTGGAGCTAGGGGCAAGTCACGCTTCATGAACTTCTCTTGGAATATGTGAAAAATGATGGGAAGAATTCAGGTGCCTGCATGTGGATATCTAACGTCATTTTAGGTGCCTGAGAGTACCTGAGACATCTGCATAGGGCTGTGAGGTGCGGCGCAGGGAGGCGTACTCTTCTGGACTGGCAGCTGGATGCCAGGCAGAGGCTGACTTTTCTGGTATTTTTGTTTCCGAAATGGCAGTAAAAGCCTATGTGTGGGCACCGAGTCACTACAGTCACTGTTTCTTTTCAGCCTTTCATTTTTGGTGTGGTTTAAGTTTTTTTTAAGTTTGCAACCTCTCAATTAGCTCTTCATCCTACTGAAGAAAATAGAGGCAATTACGTGACACCACTGTTGTACTGCTCATCCCTCTTCGCATGATGGTACTTTAACTGTATGGTAAATATGACACCTTTTGTGTTCTTAGTTTATTTATAACTTGTGGGAGAGCTTGGCTATTTGTGCAGTGCCTAGTAAAACTTGCTGGGCTTTGTATGTAAAATCTGGATTTTTTGGAGCTGATTTTAAGTTTGGTTTTTAGGTAATGTCTGAATGATGCAATTTAATTCGTGTATTTTTTCGTGGTATGTGGATGTTTAGAGTATGCAGAGTTCAGATGTCTGAATCCTCTTTGAATTTGTCCCTTAAACTGCAGCCTCGATTTTAAGACCAAGTCTAACAATGAGATTCACAGTACCTCCTTTTCCTCTCTTCTCGCTCTTGTATTCTTCTGCTTACCTACCTAAAATGTACATAGTTTATAGTTTCTTTTGTCACAAGATATTCATGTGTGCTTAGACGTCTTCTGCATGTACCCAGAGCTGCTCTCAACTGAACTGTGCTGGCTTCTTTGCTGGCATTTGTATGACCAAGGGGTTTTTTATCTGGGTCGTCTGATGGCTGTGGTGCTGTAGGTGAGTTCAGGTTGTGTCTGAGGTGTCCTGACAGGTGTTTGTCTGTGTATACTTACTTGCTGAAGGAGGAAGGATGGTGTGGTACTGTTACAGTCTGTGCAAGCAATTTAAAGTAGAGCTAGATTATTTGATTTAAATCTCTAAATCTAAACTAACTTCTCTATGCTAAGTGTAGTGAATGGAATACAGAAAAAATCACTGGCTGCTTTTATGTGAGAATAAAAATTAGAACATTTGCCTGGGAAAGCCACTGGTCTTTGTCTTCTGCATGGTAGAGAATAACCTAACCAGTGGGCTTTAGCTAACATTGATCTGGAGTTTTTCCTCTGCTGTTACACTGCTATCATGCAAGAAAAATAGAGAAAGAGAGCAATCATGTCTGCCGGTGGGGAGTAAGGTGGTGTGGCGTGAGTGGTGTCTTGTGTTTAGCCCCACGACTTGTTCTGCAGCCAGTGACAATTAAGGACCAATTAATAATTCAGTTTCTGGAGCCATACGCATATAAATTTGGTGCAGTAGTATTACAGGTTCCTTGAATTTACTAGTCCACAGCTTTTTAGGAAGTCTTAAATGGTTCTTAATGGTCTGCCTTAACCAAGAAAAACTTTTCTACTCTTGCAGATTATAAGTTAAAAACATATAATCAGTGAACAGAAGCTATGTTGAGTTTGACTAGCCAGCTGATGATGTGCCATCACATGCAGGCATGTCTGGATAAAGTTGGTGATAACTGATTTAATAAATGGTGTTTTTCAGAGTTCCATGTGGCTGCAATGTAGATAGTATTGCTGTATTTCATAATGCTGAGTAGTCTTGAAATCCTGCTTATGTACATAAAGGATAAGGGTTATATTGTAAATACCTGGCATCTGTGAAGTATCTAACATATACTGGTATTCCTGTGATGTTATATAGGCAGAAACATTTATGCAAATGAAAGACTACTCTACATGCCATTCAAAATACATATTTAGACAATACCTAAAAATTAGAATAGATTATAATTTTCTAAGAAGTAGAAAGATTAAGCAACTGACTATAATTGAAGTGTGATGCTGAGGAGATGCACTACAATGCACATGTCTCCGTGGTGTTTTGTTGAGGAGCAGGGCGGGTATTTGTACCCAACCAATAACTTATTGGCATGTACAAATCATGCTTTTTAATGTTAACTCTCATAGTATTTACTTACACTTTGCTTTTTTATTTTTCCTTTTCTGAAATACAGATAAGCTTTGTTATAGAAGCATTTTAAATACTGTGCGAAGATGGCAAGTCTGATGAGTCAGAGTCTGTTGACATACGTAGAAGAAGGTAATGTTCCTGCTCTGAAAGCGCTTCTGGAGAAATGCAGGGATGTAGATGAGAGAAATGAGGTAAGATGATTTCTTTGAAAGGTCAGTTTCATATTTCAGCTTATTAGTTACAGAATGAATAATTAGTGAGGTCATACTGGTTATTTAATATACAAATTTCAGTTTTATTTTCAGCTGATTGCTTACCTTTGAACAGACTGAACACGCAGTGTTCAGTCTCTGTCAGCACCTCGGCATCTGTCATTGTATTTGTTTTCTGAGTGTTCTGAGCTGGAAAATGCACCTCCATTCTTACTTTGTGGATGGAGGTTGTACCTGTGTTTCTACGGCTAGGAATTGTTTCTTAGTTCACAGATCCAGTTGCATGTGCATTCTTGCCCTGTCCGTTTTGTGGTGAAACCTGGGATGATAACAAACCTGGGATGATCTTCCACATCCTGGTTTCCAGGCAAGAGAAACTTGTTATACGATCCTAATAGGAGCATATATTGCAATTTACTCTGAGCAGATGCTCATCTGGATGAAAATAAACATATCTAAAAGGTAAGTCTAGATGTTATAAGGAGTATTAAATGACTTTACCAGGCATAGACGGGAGGTCTCGATACACAGTAGGGAGTTGAAATGTGGATTATTTGGAATCCTGGGACAGTGTGGTAATCATTAGCTGCTGCTGTGTCATCTAATTTAGTCTGATTTGAGCATATCACCACCAGCAATTTGAGCAAATGTGCTGCAGTTTCATTAAACTGCACTAAAGATTCCTGAGAGTTTCTTGGGAGATTTCATTCATGCAAATGTTTGTTGCTCGTGACTGTTTACATTTTTTTGCATTATGTTGAAAATTCAGGTTATCTTGATGTACTATTATGTCTTTTGTGTATTTTACAAATAATCTTAGATTATTTGACTAATTTCATCTTCTTTAGTAGGTTTTGTGGTTTGTAAGTGTATGAACTTTTCTTTCATCTGAATGTACAGCTTGCATCATCGATTTTTATTTTTTAAGTTCTGATTTCCTAAACAGTGGCATAGAGCTGGAACCTTGTTCACTTATGTAGCGTATTTGGTGAATCAGATGGACAGAAGAATTCAGGGTAGAAGGGACCTCTGGAGGTTGTGGGATTCAGTCTCCTCCTAATTGCAGGGCTAACTTCATACTTACATCAGGTTGCTCAGGGACTTACCCAAGCAAAATTTGAAAGTCTTCAAGGATAGAGATCCTGCAGCCTCTCTGGACAATGCTCCCCTGCTTAACCATGCTTTGTTTCAAAACATTTTCCTTATGTTTCATTGGACTATCCTTTGCTACATCTTGTCACTGTTGCTTTTTGTTGTCCATCCCAGAGAAGAATCTGCTTTTGTCTTCTAAGATTCCCCTTTCCTCTAGGTACTGTAAGACTGATGTTGATTCTCCTCTTACTCTTCTGCTTTCCAGGCTGAATAAATCCAGCTCTCAGTTTCTGCTTGCGTGTCTTACGCCCCAGTTTCATAACCACTTGAGTGGCCCTGTTGCTGGAATCCGCAGTTTGTCAATGTTCTCTTGCTGGGAGTCCCTCAATTGGGAGCCCAAAATGGGGTGCTGTATTCTGGATTCAGCCTTAGCAGTGTTGAGTAGAGGACCAGCTGTGCTCTTGCTATGCAGCCCAGTATTTGATTTGCCTTTGTTGCTGCAGGGGTGCACTGCCGACTCACGGCCCTCTTTGTCCATCAGGACCCCATGCCTGTTTCTGCAGTGGGGCTCCCCAGGCAGGTGGTCCCTAGCCAGTACTGTTGTCTGGGTTTGGTCCGTTCCAGACTCTGCATTTGCCTTTGTTGAACTGCAGGGAGGTTGTTGTTTCTCCAGCCTGTTGGATTCCTTCAGAATGGCATCCCTGTCATCTGGTGTACTGACCACTCTCCCTAGCTTGGAGCAATCTGTCAGCTTGCTGAGGGCACATTTCTGTCTCATGGTACAGCGTGTTGGTGACGATGCTATGATGTTAGCCCTGAATTAAACCCTCTCAGCTGGGCACCGGTTACTCATTGAGTCTGATAGTCCAGCCAGTTTTTTACTTACCTTATAGTGTATGGAACACTGGCTTTACAGTCAATTTTTTTTTTTAAGTAAGTCTTTAAAATCCATGTTCTGTTGCATTATTATTTAAACCTGCATAAGATGGAAAGAGTTTGGCAAGAAGCTGTAGAATTACATATATTACTCAAAACCAGAGAACATCATGCAAATGTGGAAGCAATGTACAGAATTTAGCCTTACTGTAGTTACTAGATCTGGTTTTGGTTAAGGCAGTTTTCTTTCATTGTCAGCACATTAATTTTGTGTTGTGTATGTGCATATGCTGAGGTATTAGAGATGGGAAAATTTTTAAGTTTCAGAGCATACACATGAGCCTCACCACTTGGCATGCAGTGTATCTGAGAAGAGGAGTAGTCTGTTCCCTCTGCTGGTAATTCCTCTCAGCAACATGGCTGAAATCAGACAGATAGTCTGTGTTAACTTTATCAACAGTGTCACTGCCTTCACCTTCTTTTCTAAATTTTTCTTCTGTTCTTGATGGGGCTAAGTGCACTCCTGGGTTTCAGTAACTGTTTTTTTTGCATAGTTTATTTCCCTGATACCTATTTTTTTCAGTGTTTTGTTATATTGCATTGGATAGTGTGATTTCTGGAGACTCGTATGGTTTGCATCAGTTTTAAACCCCTGGTGGGGTAGGCTGTTTACACATACCGATAATAGGAGTTTTGTTTAAATGTTAGCTCTTCATTAGAATTCTGTTTCCAGTGTTGGACCTGCCAAGATGTCTTTTCTTCTTGGGCAAAAACAAAATACCAAAATGGGACTACATGTGCCAGCAGTGTGTCTAAAAAGATTGCTGGCAAGCTGAGGTTTGCTAGTGCCAGGACCTCCCATGCTGCAGTGACTTGTCCAATGGTGGGATTACCCACGTTGTTACCAACTCTTTATATCTTGACTGTGATCAGTTGCCAGAAGAGCTGGTATGTTCCGGTCAGTTTGTGTGTGGATGGTTTTGTTGGAGTTTCAGTTAAGTAGAGCAAATGCCGGTCTCTCTGCCTTTTCCCAGCATGTCCTTTCCCCCATGTGCATTCTCTCTCTAATACCAGATACATTGATTACGTCACAGCTGATGATAGGTGCTTGACTTGTGTGGTACATTTTGATCCTAAAAACCTCCAGTTTTCTTTCATGTGCCTTTCCTTCTGCTCTTGATACTAAAGTACCTTCTGCATCTTCAATTTGGAATCATCTGTTCTCTGACAGACTGCGGGAGAGCTAATCTGTAAAATACCACCACTGAATGCCTTCCCTAAAAAGGTACAGGTGTGCCCCTTTATGATTTGGATATTCCAATACTTGTCTGTGATGTTCAGATGTACAGTACTTGATGTGCTTGTGAGAAGTATGAGCATTTAGTTGTTGTGGAGTGTCTAGACTCTTGGGCAATTTTTGAGAGTTAATCTGGATGCCACCACAGGCATAGTGATTATTTTTTCATGGGTGAAATCTTTATGATCTGGTGTAAAATTTAAGCTATATTTGATAATCTCTCTCTTAGCAAGAAGGGAAGGAAGTTTTCAGTACTCTAGGAGAAATGTTTTACATCTAAGAATACCAGAGCTACTCTGTAACTGTATGACACTTCTTGCAGGAGGGAGATCATTTGCCCATCCCTATCCTCCTCTTGCCCAGAGATGTTTTTGTTTGATTTGTGTTATCCTTTTCTGTTACCCACCTGGGGAGGACAATCACAGCACTAACAATATTAGCTGTTCAGAAGGAGGTCAGAAGAACGCTCATGATGAAACAGGGATTTTCGTATGTACTGCTAAAACACAGCTTAGAAGGGACCTCTGGAGATTGTCTAGTCCTGTGTCCTGAGATGGACTGGTGGGAGCCAGCTGGATTTGGCTGTTTCGGGCACGGGGCAGTCACAGCCTCTCTTCACAGAGACCCTGGGCAGCTCCCCTGCTATGAAATCCTGGACACCTACACCCAGTACAATGAGGCTTCTGTCCACCCATTTCTCCAGCCTGTCAAGATCACTGTGGATGGCAGCACAAGCATCTGGTGCATCAGCCACTCCTCCCAACTTTGTATTGGCTGCAAAGTTGCTGAGAGTGCGCTCTGTCCTATTGCCTAGGTCCTTAATAAATAGGTTATACAGTACTGGCCCCAGTATCGACCCCTGTGGTACTGCACTAGTGACTGGGCTCCAGCTGGACATTGTGCTGCTGATCACAACCCTCTGAGTGCAACAGTTCAGCCAGTTTCACTCCACCTCACTGTCCATTCATCTAGTCGGTACTTCATCAGTTGTCTGCGTGGATGTTACGGCACACAGCGTTGAAAGCCTGGCTAGAGATGGGGGTAAGCAACATCTCATCTCATCATCCACTGGGCGAATGTTGTCATTACAGAAGGCAGTCAGATTGGTCAGGCATGTCCTCAAATTGCTTGGCATGCATATTTCCCAAACATAAACTTGGATATAAAAACACATCTTAAAGAGCAAAACTTATATCTGTTTTCTCTTTGGAAAGAGAGCTGTTCTCTTCTAGAAAGTGGTATTTTTCTTCTTCGTGATTTCTTGAGCATTTTCATTTTTTTTTGATGACCAGACATAAATACTAGTGATGGTTGTTACGAAGTATGCTTTAGGATCTAAAAGCAAAGGTATCATTTTGAATTTATCCCATGTATAGTTATAAAGGAGCATATTTTCTTCCTGTAAAAAATTGCATTGTTGGATATTAGGTTATATCCTGTCACGAGTAATACTATTGGTTATCCATAATGTCAGGGGGAAGACTCTGTGAAGACTAGTTAGGGAATAGGTGATGGACTAGAAAGCTTTTTTGAAAGAATCACTGCTTGCACTTTTTTTTTTTTTTAACATGAAGAGTGGACAAATGAAGATTAGTGATCTTACCGTGTTGTAATTATGCTTTGATTTTAACTTTTTTCAGGGAAATTGCTGGTATATAACTTCTGACATGTAGCTTTTGCATTATTTATAGACTAGCTATTTTAGGTTTTCTTTATAGTACAGAGAAAAGACGGAAGAGAGATCAGGAAAAATTATCTTAATTCATTAAGCTTGTTGAGATTAACAGATTTACTGTCAAATTTAGTAACTTTTACTTTTCAGCATACAGAGCAGTTGTATCTGAGGGTTTTCTTCTGTAAGTAGCTCTGAAGAGAAGTTTGCTGACACAAAAATAGGCTGATGGAAGGGTGTCAGGTTGTAACTGACTGTTAAAACATCTTTGAAAGCAGCTTTTTTGATCTTCCTTCTTCCCAGGGATGAGGCTGTTTGTTAAGAACCTGTACTACGTAGGACAGGAATGGTGTGCGCATTTGGTATTCTGTCAGACGAAAGTGTGGTATATAACTTGACCATTTTTTTCTAAGACTTGAACAAGAAATCTTACTGTTACTCTCAATCAGTGTGGATGCTTTCATGGCCATTGTGGTTCCTATGCTAAATTTATTTATTCATTTCTAAACAATGTAACTGAGTTACTTCAAAATGTAAAGATGTCACAGGTTGTATTAGAGATGTCTTCAGTGGAGAAATAATTCAGAAAGAAAGATATTTAACTCTAACTTATTTTGGTAGCCATTTTTAAAAGTCTGATTTTTTTTTTGTTTGTTCTGGATTTCTTTTATCTCTTATGGGACAGCGTTTAGTATATTCCCCATTTTTATTGCAAGTTTACTGCGTGGTTTGAAAACCAATCCTTCTCACTGTTTGTCAGTTAAAAACTGGAAGCAACTTAATGTTCATCTCTGGTTTTTAGCCTCTCATTGTTGGTGTATGTGCATCATTCGGATCATTTCCCAATGCGTCACTTTTCCTGTCATTTTACTTTCAGAATGGCCAGACTCCACTCATGCTGGCTGCTGAACAAGGCAATTTAGAAATAGTCCAGGAGCTTCTCAAGAAGGGAGCTAATTGCAACTTGGAAGATGCAGTAAGTATTAGCGCTTTGTGCGATGTTAACTAACAACAGAGAAAGAGAAAATGTCAAGTTGCAGGCAAATAAAAGGTATTTAGGTGAGTGTTGAGGGGAGGGGAAAAAAAAAAAAGAAAGAAGGTAGAGAATGATGACATGTAAGATCAATTTTATTCCACATTGCTTGGCTCTGTATTCCTCTGATTCAATTACTCATAAAGAATGGGGATATTTAAGGTGTTTTAAATGTCAGAGAGTCTCTGCTGAATGCTGCTGCTGATTCTTCTGGAAAATTAATATTGGGAAGCTGTAGTAATAAGATTAGCAGTAGTTGACATAAAAAGATAGGTGGAATAGAGAATAAAACATCAAAGATGGATCCAAGTGATTTTGCTCATTCAATGATGTGGTGTGTTGGGATTTTTTTTTCCTTTATTTTGGTGTTTTTCAATAAATATTGAGGGATAATTTAGTTTAAAGGATTATTTCAGGTGAAGGCCAGAACAGTGGCAGAGAAGGGTTTCAAATTTGTGAATTGTCTTCCTGCGTTTGCAAAAGAGGTTGACTCTAGGTGAGAGATGCCTAGAAAGGGCGAATAGGACAGAGGTGTTGTTAAAAAGTTCTGAAAGGTCCATACATTCCAGTGAGGAGTGGTAAACAGGAAAAAGATGGTGCTTGTGTTTTTTTTCTTCTGCACTTAGTTTAATTCTGGCAGTTTAGACATCCAGGAAAAGTCTGGTATGAAACCTGTCATTTTAAAAAAGAAAAAAAAAAGAAAGAAGGCAAATGTCTCTGTTTTTGGAGACATTTTATTACGTCTGCTGTAAATGTTACAGTTCCTATACTTATAGGAAGAACAGCTACTGTATAACCTGTTGCGGTATTTATATACGTATAGCACATAAACAGCAGTCCACACCTGGACATGGTTTGAGCAGTGGATGGAAGACAGTGTAATGCAAGAGAAGATGTATCTCCTGAAGTGATCATAAATCTAAGAAGCCATGGTCCTAATTTGCCTGTATATGAGCTCCTTGGGTGCAGTCACCCACTGTATGTGGAGACAGACCACCCCCATTTTCTGTGCTCTTGGTTGCCATCTCGTCCCTGCCCTGAGCAGTTCTCAATGTCGACCTCATTCTCTAATCCTTTGCAACTGTTGCTTGCTCCATAAAGATTTTAAGAAGTTAACCTGCAATGAACTGAGGAGTGGAGAGTGGTGGATATTGGATAGGAGAGGAGATAACAGGAGGGAAGATTTGGAGTAGTTGTTGGTCTGTGTTTTCATGTATAACTGTGTATAACTGGCAGGTAGTCTAAGAGTTTGTTACTTTTTTTATTTAAAGGACAACTTTTTAAGGGGTTGTGGATTTTTGATTGTGGGTTAAACCCTTGAAAAGCAAGGTAATTGTATTGAAATGTTGAATGGAACTTAAAAATGTTTTTTCCTTTTTCTAGGATAACTGGACAGCTCTTATTTCAGCAGCTAAAGAAGGACATGCAGCTATTGTAGCAGAGCTACTCAATTATAATGTCAGTTTGGAGCATCGGGATTTGGTATGTGCTGTCCCAGTGTAAAAATAAAATAGTTTCCATCTTTTTAGTAAGAAGAACAATTTTGGGAGTTGGAGACTTTCAGTTCTGTAGAACAAATCAAAGACCTTTTATTCTTAAATTTTGCATCCAGTGGTGTTAAAATGGAAAAGAATATGTATTTAAATATTGTTTTTACAGCTGTGAAATAGTTGCTTTAGTGTTAATGAAGGCAACTTGTTTTCTAGGGCTGCTTTTTCCCTTTTAATTTGCTTTAAAAAAAAGCCAAACTGAAGGATGGTTTGTTGAGGTTTTTTTTTTGTCGTGGTAGTGGCTTTTTTTTCAAGTATTCTGGTAAAGTAAATGTTACCTTTTCATAGAAGATAGCTGTCTGTATTTACTTTTTCTCTGGACAGGCGTGATTATTCATATGGCAGTCCTTGTTCTCAATTATTTTCATTGATCTTGCCAAATTTTTTATATGGGAAAGTGGGCGCTATAGTCCGGTCCACCTAAAGAATTACAGAAGCTGCTCACGTGATTAGAAGGTTAGATGCCTCTGAAGAGCTATAGACTTGTCTTCAGTGACTGAAGAGGGAATTAAGTACCTGCAGGGACTAATTTTGTTCTGCTTAAGTTAGAGTATGGAAAACTACTAGGGGAGAATTCAAGTGCTTCTTTTAGTTAAGTTCCACTCTGAAGGCTGAGGCATGTCCTTCTAATCTAGCTTTTTCACAAGTGTAGTGTTAAGCACATCCACGTGGTCCGTGATTGATTTCTAGGCCTGTGTCAATCTGAGAGGGATCTTTTACCTCCCCTGAAGTGTATTATAAGGAAAGAAATAAAAACTGTTCAGAGGCATACCGGTATTTTAACATTGAATTTGGTTACCTGACCTGTCAAATGCCTTAGATAGTGAAACCCTCGTTGTCTCCTGGTTTACAAACTTAAGTAAACACACCAAGGCTGTTTGAAATTGTTGCTCTTATTACTGCCTTAAGAGGACATGTGATTTTCTGCTTTTTTATAAAGAAGCAAATCATTGCATAGTTACTTTATGAAGGCCATCTGTCTGTTACAAAAATCAAAAGTAAACCTTCCATGTTAGTTGGTTTGGATTCTAGACTTGCTTTAAGATAGCGCTTGCTTTTTGATTTGTTTCTCCAATGACCAGATTTCTATGCACTTGAAGTCTGAATTGAACGTTTACAGCAAATTCGGGAACATTTAGGGCACAAGAGTCTCCCAAGTTTTGCATACAGCAGGAAAATAGTACTTTCATATGAGTGCTGATTATTTATTCTATATAAGTAGGATTACAAGGTTGTATAGTCGATCCTTACTATGTTTTGGACTTGCAAAACGGTCTTAGGACAAATACAAAATGAAATCAAAGTCACTAATTAGGTTTCTTATGAGTATTCTTCAGTTTTTACACTTCTTTGAATTGTGCTTGCCAGGGAGGATGGACTGCCCTGATGTGGGCATCATATAAAGGCCGTACCGAAGTAGCTAAACTGCTGCTTGAGAAGGGAGCAAATCCAAACATCACAGGAATGGTAAGTTTTGGTCTTAAATGCCCTCTCCTCCCATATGTTTAAAGTCCTGAATTGTACACTCATCTTATTTTCTTGATTAAACATTTAGCATGTTTTGCAATATAACATTAATCACTGTAGTTTGTTTATAAAGGGTTTGCTAAAGTCTGTATGATAGCCACTATTTTTTTTTTCTAGTTAAAGCAAATGAGTGTATAGCTCTTAGTAAGATTCATATTAGCAGGAGAGGAAATAATAGAAAAGATAAGTAGTGTATCCAATGCTGCTTGTATAAAGATTGTAATTTTTCTACGTCTGTAAAAGTCAGTGGAGTAACTAATATGTGCGATTTAGAAACAATAATTTAATTTTCATAAGAGTTACCAAGTGGGCTAGATTATATAAATATGTACCATACATGTTAGAGAGAATTGAAAAATTAAGGTTTTGAGATTTATTTAATTTCATAAGTATTCTTTATAGAAGGATAGGCATTTTGAAACTTTAATGAACAATTTGTTTAAACTCTCAGCTCTCTGGTGTTTGAGGCAACAGTGAACAATTACGGAAGAACACTAGTGACCTTTCTGATTGTGGATTTCATCTGGTTTGCGTATGCAGCTTGTGCATGCATGACATGACTGATCTGCAGTCCTGATTACTTTGGGATATTGCATAGCTGTCTGTTGCTTCTCTCTTACATTACAAATGTTTATATTAAGCTGAGGATGTGAATTTTTAAACCTTGTTTAAGGAGTTATAAAACAAAATTGATTCGGAACAGTAGGCATCTTCCCAGATATCATCTAGATAATGTACTAGGTAACAGTTATTGATATTTAGTTAGATTTGTTTCTGTATATTCCCTCTTCTATGGGCTTTTTGTTTCTTGGAGCATTGTGATCTATATAGTTAGTGAAAAATAATTAAGACTATGTTTTTATTTCATACGGTGTTTTTTTTTTTTAATTCTAAGCAATACAGTGTTTATCCAATTATTTGGGCAGCAGGACGGGGCCACTCGGATGTAGTACATCTCTTACTGCAACATGGAGCTAAAGTGAACTGCTCTGACAAAGTAAGTTATGCTTGTATCATATTGAATTTCTTTAATGCTTGATACATTTCTTGTAAAAGTAACTCTTGTTAAAAAGATAAAAATCTCTGAGTTTTTGATTGGAGAAACTGTTATATTCTGATTAGAATTAATGCGGTAGAGCAAGTCATTATACTTGCAAGAGGTTTTTCCATAGAATGCTGAAGGTTGTTGTGAACATTTATTTCAGTGCTGTTGGAGCTGTTTCTGAGCTGTTGGAAACCTTGCTATCCTAGGCTGCATAGAAAAATAATTCTTACAGGTGTCATCTACAAAAAAAAGTTAACGTGGCTTTTCAAATGCTTGTGTTGATTCACAAGACAAAATTAGATCTTTGTAAAAAATAGAGCAATAAAGTCTAGGTTGAATACTAGGTTTTAGGGGATGCTAAATACAGAGAGCAATATGATAAAATGTTATAAATGTTTTTGCAGTATGGAACCACCCCACTAGTTTGGGCGGCAAGGAAAGGTCATTTGGAGTGTGTGAAATACTTGCTGCAAATGGGAGCTGATGTAGATCAAGAAGGAGCTGTAAGTAACGGTTCATTTCCCGCGATAAGGTGTAGGTACATAAATCTGTGTGTCCTGTTTTATTTTATATAATACAAATACCAAGAAATACATGAAACAAGATGAAATGTTGATGTTAGAGTATATTACTTTCTAGCTATTTGTAAACTACACATAAGGATTATTTAAACAACTTTGTGCCTTTTAATAAAAATATTACCTAACTAGGGAGTTGTATTGACAGTTGACACACTGTTATGTAAAGTGTAAATTTTAGTGAACATAAATGAATTTAGGTTATTGCTCTCTGAAGGTTAACACTATCAAAATTCATTCTGTACCTAAGCTTGGTATTGTCAAACAACTTATTCCTCAGTGCTGTTTAAAAAGTAGATCAAACACAAAGCATCTTTTGAAAATAATAATGGTTGTGCCTTCTCAGAAGTTGGAAATTTTTTAGAAGTTTTCAGCTGCATATTGTTTTTAAATAAAACATTTATATATTTTGTTGTGTAAGTCACTTAATATGTTTGTCAAAGTAAAAAGAATCAGTAAAAGTTAAGTGGAAAATTAGAACGACTTTTCATATTTGTGTGCTTATTTCTGCAGTTCTTCAGAAAGCCTCCTTATGAGTGGTATTGGCAGACCTGGGTGCTCTGATAATACTATGTTCCCATATGACAAGAAAATTATTTTACCATGTGTCTGTCATTCAGGAGTTAGAATGAATTGATCTGAGGTTTACTGTTTGCATTTGAAGTGTACTATAGTTCTTAGTTTGTTTATTTTTTTAAAAAAGTATAGCAAATGCACTTTAAAACGTAAAACTGTAGTAACATTCGGATTGTTAAGAAAGTAATGTCAGTGAGTGTTCTTTTGTTATTTAAGCTGCTGATGTAGTGATGATTTCTGTATCCACTGTACAGTAAAATCTGTTATTTTTGTTTAAAGAATTCTATGACTGCACTTATTGTAGCAGTGAAGGGTGGCTATACTGACTCAGTAAAAGAAATACTGAAAAGGAACCCAAATGTAAACTTAACAGATAAAGATGGAAATACGGCTTTGATGATTGCATCAAAGGAGGGACATACTGAAATCGTGCAGGATCTTCTTGATGCTGGAACTTATGTGAACATTCCTGATAGAGTGAGTAAATTTTTATTATAGTTCTTGTTTTTTATATATGTAGTAATAATATATATTTAAATACCAATGTAGGCAAATTTGTGAGTATGTGGTTTTTCTGACTTCCTGATTTTTCTGCCACCTGGGGGTGTTTTTATGTATTGCTATTTTACAAGTATGTTATATGGCAAATGTTGCTGTTTGAAGGTAAACGATAAACTACAGAAACTACTCTTTTTCTGTGAGATTCTTGAATTGTGAGTTTCCATAGGGCATGGAAATGACTTATGATTGTACATTTGTCATATCTGTAACATAAGACTAATACTGAACTCCCTTGCAAGTTTAGGGTGGGGTTTTCGTGGTAGTGCTGTTAAAATTGTAAAACAATGGATATTATAAAAAAGAATGTATTCATTCAGCGTCTACCTTTGCCTTTTGCAATAAATTTTTTACTAGGAAGTGTGTGTATGTTAGAGGAAGATTCAGCTCTGGATTAAGTTGTGTAAACGTAACTGTTGACAGGTGTGCTGCGTACCTGAGCTGTGATTGCTTTGTTCAGTAGAGGCATGCATGCAGTATGGGTACTGACCAGAGTGTGAATCTGCTTGCTAGCCACTCAGAGATTTATTTGGTTGCTTACATAGGTGTTTTGGACTGTCTGCAGTGTCCTCTTGATAGTCAGGTTTTTCTGAAGTTCCAGAGGCAGGCCAGGCACTGCACCCTTGGGGCTATAGGTGGTTAGATACCTAAACTTAGGTGCCTCTGTCAAGATGAGTGTTTTAGTTCAGAGCAGTAATATGGTTTTCAGGCTAAATTCCTAATCCCTAAATTGGATTGCTTGGGGTTGCAGAGAAGAGAGGAAAACCTCCTAATATTTACCTCATAATTATAAAAGGATTTTTGGATGCATTTTCCTATATTGCAAGTATCAGCTTAGTGCATTTCTTAAATGCTTACATACTGAGCTGCAGTGTTGCATGTGACAAAAACTTTGATCTCAAGCACATATTAAAGTAAAACTTGAAGTATTTAAGAAAATACATTGCAGTCTCCCTTCCCACCTCTTCTGCCACAAAATTCTACAACTGTCTACATTCCTGACAGCTTTCAGTACAGCTGACTGTATTCCAAAAATACATCAAACAATGAGTAGTCTTAGTTTCAGATGCTAGAGTGGGTTTTGATAAGGAAAATTTCTTGGTTTGCAGCCAGGTATGTAATGACTATGATTCATAGGGGATCTACTGCTAAGTTTTCTAACTGAATTCCACACCTGTGATTTAGCTATACTTTTATTTATTTTTCCTGTTTCGTCATAAAAGAAGTATTAGGTAACTTCAGGATTTAATTTTCTGAAATTCTGACATGAAATTCTTAAGCGTGTTAAAATCAGAAGCCTTAAGCAGAATTGTAACTTTGTTTTACGTATGTACAACTCCTTTTACCACAGCAAAATATTTTTTTCTTTTGATCAATTTGAGACAAAATCGGCCTTTTGCTTCTTTTCTTTATAGCAGCATAGTGTATGTAAACAGGATAGCAGTCAAATCTACACAAAAAAAAGGGATAAAATTCTTTAAAATTCTTGAAGATCTTTTGTCAGCTGTGAAAGAACTAAAGGAGACAGCCAACATTCTTGTCAGATTGTAAAGAGGTTATTACTGTAATTACTTGTCTGATTGTAAAGAGGTTATTACTTGAGTGGTTGGTCTTCCTATGAACATAGAGAACAGATGGATTTTTTCATGTTCTTTATTAACTTGTGCTATTATTTTTTTGAGGTAGTGGTTTAAGGTGGACCTGTTCTTGGAGTGTTTGTTTTGCCATAAATATATAATATTTCACCTCTTTGCAAAAAAATATAAGAAATGGAGTGCAGAACTTTTTCTTCTATATACCCATTATTTGCAGAGATAGAAGTATTTTTTTGTATATTTGTTTAAAATAAGTGCAGATTTGCTAACACAAATAGGCATAATGTGTATTTGGAGGCTGTAATTTATTCTCTGTTCCATTTATTTTTGCTAAATATAATTAATTAATCTTCAGTATTATTTCACAATTTTTATAGAGCGGAGATACAGTGCTGATTGGAGCTGTTAGAGGAGGTCATGTTGAAATTGTGAGGGCCCTGCTCCATAAATACGCTGATATAGACATCAGAGGTCAGGTAAGTACAACAATGTGGATGTTAGAGTAATTCTTAAATGGGTTGTGAATTTATATACCAAACAATTAAACTGTGTTTCTGAAAAAACAGGGCTTTAAAAACTTCTTCAGTCTACTCTGCAGGAAACTCAGATTCCCATGAAACGTTAAAAATATATCAAGTTGCTGTGCAGTTTTTAAGATATAAGACATATGTAATTGTAATGACTTGTTAAGCAGGGTTTTTTTCAGTTTATTTGTATAATGGTTGAAAAGCAAAATATGTGAATTGAAGTTACTTTGTCTGCACTACTGAACAGATTTAAAACAATGAAATACTTTTAAAATCCTTCAGTATTATTTTTTTAATACTTAATATTTTAAGTTCAATAACAATATAGTAAAATACAGTGCCCCTTAGGTTATATCTGTTGTCACAATGTTGGTTAGACACGTCTGTCACTATGCTTAGTTGGCGGTTCTCTGCTTCGCTAACTTCCTTTCTTGTGTTAAACAGTCAGTGATTTCCTAGTTTTCTGTCTATCCCTTTTTTCTGTTCTTTGATTAAGGTATTGTTTTTATTCTTCTACTGAAAGCTCTCTTACTGAGCATGGCTTGGTTTTATTGTTACATTCAGCTTGCTTTCTTTTGCTTGAAGCTATTGAAATCACTCCGCTGGCAGGCACATATGTTCTGGCAAGTGTGAACACGAAACTAACTAGTCACTGAGAACTGCAAAGATTCAGAGCCTGCTATTGATGCGGAGCCTCTTTGAGAAGCCAAGAACCTTTTAGTTTGGAAAAAAAATAGTGTTTGGATCTCTTCCTCTCACCTGCCACTGGAAACCTGGAATTATGTGTCTCAGCTTCTTGCTGGCAGGGGTCTGAAAAACTGGAGCTTTTCAACATCTTCATATGACCAACGCAATACAGAAACAGCAAGAGGACCCAGCCTCTTCGGGGCAGGGGAAGCTTGTGGCTTCTGGCAGTGTGTGGGTGTCTGTGTAGCCAGGTGCAGTGGTTAATCTAGAGAATACATTTGTATTCATTGTATTGGCCTTGTTGACACAGCAGGAGTGAGTACCATTGGGGAAGATTCTGGCTGTGCGCTTCAAATCTTCAGATTAGGACCAGCAGTATAAAAATTGCTGATGAGCAGTAGTGTTTAGCAACTCCCTGCTGTTTGGTGTTGCAGTGCCTGTCTGCCAGCCAGACCTGTTCTGGGGAGATGTGTTTCCTGCCCAAATCTGTGATGTTCTGGAAAGATTGCTGAGTCTTGTCCAGCCTTCCAGCAGCTGTGTTCCTTGCTGCTCATTCCTTCGTATGGAAACTAGTCGGGAGACTCTGAGCGGGTAAAACATGATTATAGGGCTCTGGGAGCAAGTGTTGGGGCAGTGGAGGGCTTAGGTGGTGTTCTCAGCCCTTTCTGGGAAAGGGGGAAGGCCCAGATGGGAGCATCTGGCAGACTAGTGCCTGGCTGTGCAGCTGATGTTGCTAGTGAGGAGTCAGCTTCTTCAGGCTGGTGTCTTGTTGGAAGCCACCTGACTGAAGGACAGAGGACATGAAACCCAGATGACGTGAGAGGAAAGAAATCTGAGTGACCAGGCTTGTTACACTGTCGGGAAAGGCTTTAAACTCCGTTTGCTGTGACGCCCGCAAGTAGGAGAGGAAGAGCTGCAAATGAAAGAAGCAAGCAAGCAAGAAGGCTGCAAGGGAGACTTTGACATTAAAAAAATCACACAAGCATGCATCAAACAGAGAGAGTCGTGATGCAGTCACTAGGCTACAAAAAGATTGCAGGCACAGAGACTTCCTAGGATAGCACACATTGCTTGGGAAAAAAAAAAGATGACACAAACAGATTTGGAACAATCAATCATTCCTTCTGGTTCAGTGATACAATGTATGACTGATCTGCATTCTGATACTTTGTGTTGACTTTCACATCCATCTACTTTTACAGCTTTAGGGCTTTCATGGTATGCTTTTAGGCCAGCCAACCGGTTCAACGGTTTTATTGGGTTATACTGTAAAATAGAAGAAAATGGAAATTTTTTTAAAGGCCTGGAAGTGGTTAGCACTTCCATGTTCTAACAGAAGATAAATATTTTTTTTTAAAGCCACAGAGAAACATGACTTACATAATAGAGGGGAAAAAAGACAACACTCTAGATTGTTTTATTTCATTAGAAAACTTGTACATTTGAGTTATAACTGAATATTCATATGTAGGTTTGGAAACTGTTTCAAGACAGATTGAATCTGCTTGGATTGTTAAAGCTCTTAATATATTTTGCACAGATTTGTAAAATAGATTTGTGTTCTCTGACCAGATTTCCATTCCCTCCCCAAAAGTTCTACTGGTGTGCCAGTTAGGTTTAGTAGCGTTTCCCTTTGCCCTGAGCTGTGCTAGAATTTTTTGTATTATCTTCTGTTTTCAGTGTAGTGGTTGTACTTCATATACAGTTTTTGAACTTAATCCAACTGAATGAAAGTCCTGTTAACATATAATACTCTGTTTTTTCAGGATAATAAAACTGCATTATACTGGGCTGTTGAGAAAGGAAATGCTACAATGGTGAGGGATATCTTGCAGTGCAACCCTGATACTGAAACATGTACAAAGGTAATGATTAGAATTTTAATTTAATTGCTTTGTTTAAGATCTGTTCTTTCATTTGTTATCCTATCACTAGCTTTTGCTTGATTTTGAGTATACAGAGAATCTTTTTTTATTAGGCCTACTTTTACCTTTTAGGATGGAGAAACACCGCTTATAAAGGCAACCAAGATGAGAAATATTGAAATAGTAGAGCTGCTTCTGGATAAAGGAGCTAAGGTCTCTGCTGTAGACAAGGTAAAGAATATTTGTTTATTTACTTTAGTTTTGTGTCAGAATTTTGTGGTGAGCTGTCAAGGCTAATACAGACAGCTTCCCATATGCTTAATAATTAAAGAGGCCATAATACTTAAATGCTTGGTCTCCCATATGCTTAATAATAAAATAGATCAGAATACTTACATATCGATTAATTCCCACCACTAATATATAGATTTTTTTGTTTGCATTAGGGTGCTTTTAGAATAGAAAAGAAAGCGTGTGTGAAAAGAAAAAAATTCCAGGTCAAGAATAAACATTTTAGAAATAAGAATACTAATTCTTAATACCCTTGAAAAAGAACATAGAGAATGGTTGTTATTTGTCACTGATGTTTGGTTTTGATTAACAGACTTTAAACTAAGCAAAGCAAAGGACAAAACCAATCATTTGTTGCTGTCCTCTTATGCATTATCTACTTTGACTGTAAACCCTTTAAATACAGGAACGTTTATTTGATACTCAGTATTATATTTGGGGAAAATAAGTAATAATGTTGATGTAATAAAGAAACTTTTACTGGAAAGCTTTTTGAAGATGTCTGAACAGGCATTGAAATAATTCTAACAAGCAGTATCTCCTGTTCCAAACAAGTCTCTGAATTTGCTAGTAGGCACTTGTTTCTAAATAAAGACTACGCCCGCCCTGCAGTGGGGCGCGGGAGATGTGGCATACAGAAGCCCCCCTCCCTGGCGGCGCTCTTGGGGGACCCAAGTCCTTGTGATCGAGGCCGCAGCCCGCGGACGGTGTGAGGCCAGTAGTGGCCCACCAGCGCGCCGGGCCCGGGGCTTCTCCGAGTCAGGTTGCTTGGGAATGCAGCCCAAAGTGGGTGGTAAACTCCATCTAAGGCTAAATACCTGCACGAGACCGATAGCCAACAAGTACCATAAGGGAAAGTTGAAAAGAACTTTGAAGAGAGAGTTCAAGGCGACCTCAGATCAGACGTGGCGACCCGCTGAATTTAAGCATATTAGTCAGCGGAGGAAAAGAAACTACAGTTTTCATGAACCTTAAGATATTACTATAAATGTTTAAGAAAGAAGTTAATGCCTTAGATTTAGCATTATAAGAACTGCCTTTTCACAGTCTTTTCTGAAACTTTTGTAATGCTTTTTCAAGGGGAAAAATGCTTGCTGTAAGGCATTAATGCTGTTGAGAATACCTTAAGATGTATTTCAAGTAAATAATGCATCTGAAACAATGTGGAACATGTGGTCTGTTTATAATATTAGGAGCTCATGCTGGATATTACTAGTCTTTTACTTAATTGCAGAAAGGAGATACTCCACTTCATATTGCCATTCGTGGAAGAAGCCGTAAACTTGCTGAATTACTCTTACGAAATCCAAAAGATGGTAGATTGCTTTATAGACCTAACAAAACAGGAGAAACACCTTACAATATTGACTGTAGCCACCAGAAGAGCATTTTAACACAGATATTTGGAGCCAGTAAGTATAAGTATTTAATTTTATGGTTTTTTTAATCACTTGTATATTGAGAATCCAGTTTATTAAATTCTTTATTGAATAGTTTAGTTTTTTTAATGTTGCAACTAATGGGAGAGCTTTAAAAAAATTAGTTGGCAAAAAATTTAATCACTCTAAAAAGCCTAACAAAGGTCAAATGTATCTTTTATTTTTGACTTTTGACATTGCATACTGTGTGACTTCTGTTAATGGTTTTGTTTTTACTTAGATCATGTCTACGTAGGAGTTATTTTCTTTAACTTTCTGTGATTTGGGATTTTGTTTGAGTCTTGTGGTAAGCTCTAATGGTTTTGATAATTATATGACATTTATGTGGATATATACAAATATAGGCAAACCTGCCTTGATTTCATTTTTTAAAATTGTCATATTGAAAAGATTTAGTAAAATAAAGTTCTGTAACATAGTATTTGTGTTACAGGACACTTATCCCCCACGGAATCTGATGGTGACATGCTGGGTTACGATCTGTACAGCAGTGCTTTGGCTGATATTCTGAGTGAACCAACCATGCAGCCACCTATTTGTGTAGGCTTATATGCGCAGTGGGGAAGTGGAAAATCTTTTCTGCTCAAGAAACTGGAAGGTAAAAGTTGATTTAGCCTTTTCTGTAGGTTCAAATCTATCTGTAAAAAGCATCACATGGGAGATAATAGTTTTTGCTACAGCCGTCAGTCTGAGTAGGTCTCTGTTCCAGTAATGAAAGTATTTAAACTTCAGTGTGGTCAGTTCATCCGTAGGTTGCTTTATCCATTTATACAATGTCAAGACAGTCTTCAAGTGTTGCTGTCTATTGTCCTGTGGGTTTCCTGCAGCAGTGTTTCTGCCCTTAGGTAGTGTTGAAGGTATGGCTGCTGAAATATCCCTTGCTGGGGGCGTTTGTGTGTCAAAACAGATTCACACCTCTCTTGCTGAAGTATTTATTGTACTTCCTATGTGTCATCTTATATTTTTTTGAAGTTTAAGAACAAATTCCAGGCTGGTTTTTTTTTCTCTGTAAGGTTTTTTCTGTCTCTAGGTTTCTTCCCCTTTCCTCTTATTTACTTTGAGTTTTTTGAACTTTCTGAAATGACATCGGAAAGCAAATACAGTATTTGAAGAGCGT